TCACCAGCCTGGGGCGATGGGGGTGTGAGTGGGAGCAAAAGGGTGGGATGAGAAAGTGAATGGGTAATTTGGAAATCAGAAGCCTCCTGGCAGCGAGGTTGCTACTGGCACATGGCGTGTTACCTCCTGGGAAAGGGGGCTGTGTGTGTGTGTGTTTGTGGTTGTGATTGTGTGTGCATCTGAGGACAGCTCAAATGAACTGGAGACAAGATTGTAGGGAAGAGGAGAGTTGGGAGCAGCAGGGGACAGATAGGTGTGGAGTAGCTAAGCCTTGAAAAAAAGGCCCGAATGGGAGAGAAGAGGTCGTCCCAGCTTTAATTTCCAAGGGCCCAACTGATCTCATGTGGACTGGCGCTTTACTGAGCTATAATTTTGACTAGAGCAAAGATGCTTAACAGGGACTCACTCTTTACCCTGTGCTCTGTAGACGGAGCCACGCGCTTACCACTGGAGGTTGTTTTTTAAGGGCAGATAGTCAACTGCACAACTTAGAGTCACATAATGTGGACTTGCTCCCAGACCCCACTGTTTTCCTCTTAAAGACACCCACAGCTTTTTGCAAGCCCATCCTTAGGTTGTGCAGGGGGGGAAAAATGGTAAAAGGTAGGAGTAGATTTGCATTGTTTTTGCCAAGGGGCCCTGGGTTTTATTGCACAAGGAGCAGTTGCCCTCAGCCCCACTGTCAGAGCGATGCTCTTGCATTTGAGTCCATCTCGCCCTGGACTGTACTCTTAGCTGGGCCACAGCACTGCAGTCTACCTTGCCATCCCTGGGATGTACTTGGGCAGGAAGCCGGCATGGCTTAGGGTGGAGTTCAAGCAAGACAAGCTCCTGCGAGCACATCAAACCCACCCTGTGCTCCCTGACATTCTCAATCAAGCTCAATGGCTCCTTCCTTATTTGCAAAGTACTCGGGCCTGGGACCCTAAAACAGCAGAAGCGCCGGGAGGAAAATTGAATTAACAACTTCACTTCTTGGGGAGGGATGGAAAGGGAGTGTGGAGGACACAGAATGTGCAAGGCTCTGGCCCAAGGCTCTGCAGCAAATTCCCCCAGGAACCAAAGTCCATCCCAACATCTTTTGGGAGCACATGTGACTGCGCCTTCTGCAATATCAATGCACGGTGTACAAACTCACCCCTGAACAACGCAGCGCACAACTCCTACCAGAACAAGTTGCTCGCCACTGATGCTGCTTCCACTGGGGACCGGATGCAAGACCAAAGGCACGAACGATGCCAGGCTCCGTGCCAGTCCTCTTGAAGACGCCCCACTCCTATGGAGGCCAATGTAGCAGAAGAACCTACGCAGAACAGACAGGGGCTGAGACAGCTGTGTAACACCTGGGGATGAGGCCTTGCTACTGTCCCCTCCAGCCACAGTTCTCTATTCCCTGTTAAACCACGGCCTGCAGTGGGAATTGCTAGGCTACAGCTAATGCCTCCCAATGGGAGATGACGGCAGCCCCTCGGCTCGTGCTGGATGACAATGCACAGGCCAAACCTTTGTGCCTGTATAAGCAGGGGACAGCCCTGCTCTGGATGATGGACTAAGACGTGGGTGAATTTGGTGATTTCAGCTGTTTCCTTTGTACACATGTCCTAGGGAGCTATTCCTATGTATCCTTCTGTTGTGAAAAGTAGCCTGACCCACAGGGCTGGAAGGAGAGCAGTGACCAAGGCCTTTTTTCAGCTCCCCTGAATATGCAACTGGCTGGTTGGTTTCTAAGCTGCCTTCTGAGCTATCTATCTCCATTCCTCACATATCTCATCCCAAGGAATGCAGCTGCTCTGCAACCCACGCTCCCAGTGAATCAGGCACCTTCCACTCGTTGCCATGTAGAAGCCAAAGTTTGCATTACTGAGCAAGCCAAGGGTTTTGTTCTTTAACCCTGTGGGCTGAAAGGGGTCTAAAGGGCTTCAGCCTTGGGGAAGCTCGTGGGCCATCCTGGTGCTGTGGACTCCTCACCTTCCTCCCAACACGCCACAGTCTGCCTTGTCTTTCTCCCCCTAACTTTCCCCTAACGAACCTAAAAGGTGCAAGGGAACGGTCTACTGGTGTGACCAGGGTTTCCATTGAAATTGGTGTATGGTTACATCACTGCTGTGGAGGCCTGACCAGCCAATCAGAATGGGATAATCTGGGCTCCTTCCCTCATGGATGAATAATGGGATAATTGGAATAATCTGGGCTCCTTCCTGCATTTTGCCCAGCAACTTCTAATTGATCATCTCCACTTCTGCCTGCTGAGACCTGCTTGCTTGTTGCTTTGTGTCTGCTCTTCGAACTCAGAGCAGGGACAGGTGCTAAAACCGGGTCCACACACCAGGTTCCCAGCATGGCAAGGAAGGATAAGGTCATTTTAATCACCCTTAGTGTTGCTGACGATGGGCTTCATCCTAGTGCTTTTGTCTGCTTTAGATACTCTGGATATTGTGGAACTTGATTCAAAATCCCGTATGAAGCAGCGTAGAGTACTGCAGACACTTAATAACTCACCAGGATACAGGCAGAAAGGTGCTGTGTTCATTCTCGTTCCTGGACTGTAATATGCTATACTGGATTACCACTTAGGCAAACTGATCTACACCAGCTTGGTTAGCAGGATGCAGCCTGTGTGTATAGACAAGCAGTGCAGTTCCTCGTGGTAACCATGTCACTGTCTCCTTGGCTTTCTGCTCCTTTTTCTCCCCATGCAGTGGGGACTGTCTTCTCTTCGAGACAAGGCACACTTTGCTCTAGGTGATACCTGGGTCTAAATTTCACAAACTCACCTGGCAAACTATTAGGATCCAGTGCTGGCATGCAGCGATCGTCATACTCTGCAGCTCGGGAGATCCTGAAACCTAACCTCAAAGGGTAAAGTCAGCATGTCCCAGGCACCAGGTACGTTTCAAATCCAAAGTCAGGCACCAATAGAAATCCCGCCTGAACCCATCCCCTCTGCATAGGGGGAATTTCATGCCAAGCTGCTCCCACTCACCCTTCATGCAAAGGGAGGGAGGACCTTCGTCCCTGGTAAAAACGAGGCAATGATTTACCTTGTGAACTGGGGGCGGTGGAAGGGACTCATTTTGGAAGTAATTGGGGTGGGCATGAACCTTAGTATTTTACAAATGGAGACATCAGGTTACGAAAGCTCTGTGAAAAGATTAACTAGCAACCTCTTGAACAATTAAAATGAAATGACACTAAGTGCTCATCCCGGTCAGGTTAGCTGAGTTCCTGCACGTATCCCCCCCAGCGGACATTGCTTTTACGCGGCTACGCTGGGAGGAGTTACTCCTGCTAGAAGCGAGTACAGGGGATATCGCTTCACTGGTCCCAGGAATGAACTCTGACATTTGTTTTTTTTTAATGGATGAAAAATGTTATGGTCTTGCCTCATACATTCGGCCAGAGTGACCTGGGGTGTGCGTTCACACACACACACACGCATGTGTACACACTAGCAGGTCTGATGTCATTCAGCAGGGGGCAGTGTGGCACACAGGTATGTACAAGCAGAGGCATGTCTGGTTTCGTGCAGCGGTCAGAGAATACGTGTGCACACAAACTTCCCTGCTTGCAGCTGGCAGTAATGTGTACACACATACACATGCAGAGGCATCCGATTTCATCTAGCAGAAGCTGCAGGGAATACACAAACCTGTGCGAGTGTGCAGGCAAACTCATACCCCCACCGCCCTGATTTCATTGGGCAGTGGAGAATACATGTACACGCACATACACACAAGCGGGTATGATTTCATCCAGCAGGAGGCAGGAAGGTGTGTTTGTGTGCGTGCAGCGCGTGCGCGCACACACCTGCTTTCACCCAGGAGAGGCAGTAGGGAATACACATGCACACGAGACCATGCACTCGCGCACACACACACACACACAGACAGAGCACACTTCAGAATGGCACATGGCCACTAGCATATACAGTAACAAGCCAAGCATGTCTCTTTGCTCCACTAAGCCCCTGCATCTCTCATAAGCAAAATCACATAAATAATAACCAAGCCGCAGCCTAATCCTTTAAATGCATTCGCTTTTATTCCAGACATTTAGAAGTGTTACATAAAGTGTTGTGATCGATAAATCTATTGAGAAGGTTAAAAAGACACTGTGCGCATTTCAAAGTCGATCGAAGTTGACAGAGGTATATGTGCTTGTAAAGTTACATCGTAATAACGGCTGGAAGACAAGTGACATTTTGGAAAGGTAATACCCCTGTGTTTCTTATGGTTTACAGTTTGCCATTCAATACAATTATAAGGTGCATTCAGACTGGAGTGGCTGGGGTGCTGGAGAGCGATTTTATCAGACAGGTTAAGGTTACACGAGGACACCATTTACAAAACATGAAAAAAAAAAGGCATTTCTGAAAGGAAACCAGAGAGAATTCAGGGTCTGTAAATAACCAGCACTATCAGGACTCATGGGAGATCACTTCTTGTGCACCCGCGACACCGATAAGTGATTCCTAATCAGGCTAGTTCCTTGGCACAGCTGCCCCCTTTGCAATAGTTTCTTGGTAGTTTAACGAGATCTGCTCTCAGAGTCACTCTCTGCGGGGAAGCTCTCGCTGTAATATGCCTGACAGCACCCAGAAACTCCCCGAATGCCTGTGAGTGGCACATCACAGAACTTGAGTTCTTGGTCACAAGCTTTTAAAAGAAAGGGGTAAAGGAAGAGACAGCTACGTCTACCTTGGTGTGTGGCATTGATGTTACCCTGAGATCTACAGTGCTCTACAAGGTCGGTTTTGTACAGTTGTCACTGGTGTATTTATAGTCTGTGTTGCGGACATAAAACCAGAAATGGGGCATGCCCCCTACCTGCTCTGGGTTATTTAAAATCTTTCTACGTT